TTTTTATGTTCTTATCAGTTTATATATTTATATTATGGTGACAACTCCGGTACCTTTCTAAAAAATGGGGTACCGTATCTATCATTCATTTGATTGGACCACATCACTTTATCATTTTTAATTTAGATTTAAATAATTCAACTGCTACAATCTCATTGGTCCATGTGGACAAAGGTATGGTACCTTATGCGTACCATAGAATCTACCTTATATTATTACTCATTCTTATTTGTGGGGTGTGTAGCCTGCTTGCCATCGGAGGAGGTTTGTCTGTAGTGTTACGAATTCTCATCGCTGTTGGAATTATGCTTTGCTTCTTCCCGCGATGTTTGCTTGGTGTTACTACCGCATAAAAGACCCGGACTCTTCAGATCAAACGTCATGAATTTTGTAGAACAAATTAGCTAAGAATATTTTCTTTTATACTGAAATTTGTTCGTCTAGTGTACTCTATTTAAACTTGTTTAGTATAATAAACGTTTGGTATTTGTATAATTTGTTCGTCTGGTGTGGTGTATTTCATAATTGTTGACAATGACTTTATAACATTCATAATCAACCAATGCAATGGTTGAATATTCAACCTTTTGTAAATGATGAACCATATTAAAATATTTACTTTCTCTTTATTATCCTCAATCAGATGAGCCGCATCGGCTACGTGCCCACCACTAGAATATTCAACCTTTGAAAACGTAGATGAAACGAATTGTGGAATTTTAACCGCATGTACGTTCGACGGAGAGGATTTTGGTGCTTGCTGCGGTCAAAGTAATCAGTGAGCTAGTTGAATTTGGATACTAACGCCATAGCTTCACATGAACTTCATCTCACGGAGGATATTGAATTCGATTTCACGAGAATAGGAGGAATAGGGGAGGAGTCGCTGGAATCCGAATAGGAAGGGTAGGAGTAGTTCTCCATGGGCAGGATTGTTGGGAATTGAATTTTTGGCCTTTGTGTGTGTTTAGGGGTCCAACGATGACGAGTATCGACGAGCGACGACCTCTATGACGGCGATGAATGGCGGTGAACTTAGTTGTAGCCTGCGACGAAGAGAGGCAATTAATTGAAATCGAAGGTGATCAATGTCCTCTGGCACATCTATCTTCTCCGTGGTTGACCTGAAGCACCAAGTATGGAGAGCTTCGATCTTTCTTAATTGGATAACGGAAGAGTAGTTTTGCCCTTTAACATAAAATTGGTCCTATACCGGAATTAAAAAAGGGATAAGGCTCAAATTGGACACTATGGTTTAATGAGAATCTTATATTAGACACTAAGGTTTCAGATGGACCAAATTTGACACTATGGTTACATATGTATCTCATATTCGACACTGAAGTTTCATAATTCGTAGTTTTTGGACACTCACTTATGATTCTCGATCTTCTTCCTTTAATAAAAATCGTTAGTCATATATTTCCTTCCTTTTTGGTTAAAATAAACTAATTTAATTACGTATATAATTTTGGAATATTTAATTTGAAGTTTTAGAATATACTCCCTCTGTCCCGAATTATAAGGGGCACTTTACGGTTTACGATGCTTGACCGATGATAAAGCAAATTGATCCCTGTCAACACTCAAATTAGTTTTAGAAAATAAAAATTTACATATTCAGAAACTACATTAAAATCGCTAAAAAACCTGGAAAAAATAATTCAAATTTTATAAAATTTTAATATATAAAGTAAGCGATTAAGAGTGATTTGTGTTGACCAAGTGAATAAAAAAGATATCTTATAAAATGGGATTGAGGGAGTATATTTTGATTTTAATTAATAACTTCTTATACGGAGTATTTAACAATTTAAAAATATATTTAGGACTTTTCATTCATATGATTTTTATAGAACTTTAAGAAATATCGATTTGTTAAGTTGATTTAACAAAATTAAAGAATTCAATTACATTATAATAGATTTTCTTAATTGGAACTTCTATTATATATTCTAAATCTAAAATACATGAATTAAGTTATTTTTATTTTTTAGGTACATAAAACCAAAAAAAGGGAATACTTAGAGCTTTCAAGATGAAAATCTTTGGTGGGTGCTAGAAAATGATCAAAAAAAGGAAAAATTTGATCCATTTGAAACTTTAGTGTCAATATGAAGTACACAAGTAACTATAGTGTCCAATTTGGTCCATTTGAAACTTTAGAGCCCGTTTGGAGACCCCTTTTTTCGGCTTATCAGGCTTATCAGCCAGCTTTTTCACCAAACACGTAATTTTTACTTTCGCGTGCTGAATTGTGTAATAAGCAGAAAAAGTAAGGTTGGAGTTACTTTTCTAGCTGTATTGGCTGAAGTTACTGTAGATGACCATTTTAGCTATTTATACATGTAATTTTTTCTTTATTTTATTAATAAAATATATTTTTAAAATATTTTTTACTAGAATCAGCAGAATCAGCCAAAATAGCCACTTCAGCCAGAACTTCATAAATTTCAGCAGAAGCAGCCAAAACAGCCGATTTTTGTGCTACCAAACGGGCTCTTAGTGTCCAATATGATATTCTCATATAACCAGTGTCCAATTTGACCCTTATCCCGTTAAAAAATATTGGGTCCTATTTACGTTCCTTTGCTATGTTTTAATCTTACTTGGGTCTTTCTCCCGAAAAAAAACTCCGCTTTTATGTGTTTTGTTGCCTGTATTTTTGCTTCGTTATTTTGCTTCATGTTTTATAATATTTTAGACTCCATTTGCGCTTAAGGTCTCCACAAGTTCATATGTAAGAAACCAAAAAGCACACTAGCTGCTTGATAATATGTCAAAGTTACTTCATTGCATTTGCCTTCAAATTTTGAGTTTTTGCTGTTTTTTTCACCGCACTTTCTGCTTTGTACTTTCTGCACTTTTTAGCTGCATTTTTCCTCCACATGTTATACTCCTATAGTCCTATTAATCAAGATTTGAATTGTAAATTAATGGTCTACACATGTTCATATCAAAAGACTCTAAAAGCACCTAGGTGTTTTTATTGGGTTTTCTACTGCCCTTTTTAATTGCTGCGTTTTTCTTACATTTTTGCTACGTTTTCCCTACACTTTTTGTTGCATTCCCCTTGCATATTTTATATTAATTAAGACTTCAATTGTGATTAAATGATCTCCACAAGTTCACATGAAACGACACTAAGGTTATTTCATTACAATTGCCTTCAATTCATAGGTCTGCTGCATTTTTTACTGCCACTAATCAAGAAAAGCCATATGTACTGATTAATACTGAAATAGGGACATTTGGTTCCATCGAATTTATATATTCAATAAATAAAACATTACCAATATGGTGTTTTAAAAAAAAAACATTACCAATATGGTTAATACAACGTAAAAATCAGTGCTCCATAAAACTCATGTTTCTTTTAATGATGATGTGCCTCCTTACAAGTATTTTATCTTGACATCTAGGGGTGAGCAAATAACCGATTCAACCGACCTGACCGAAAACCGATGACCGAACCGACCGAAAAAATCGGTTTCGGTCGGTTATCGGTTATCATAAATTAAAACTAATCGGTTATTCGGTTATTCGGTTTTTATTCGGTTTTATTTGACGGTTATCGGTCGGTCACCGATAACCATCCGATTTTTTTATTTTATTTTTTATTTTTTTTGTAAATATTTAAGTAAACATAATTAATATACTACGTAATAAATTAATAACTTCATAGTAACGATAAAAAAAGAACTCCATAGTAATGAAATATGAAGTCCATCCCACGCCTATTGAACTCCACCTACAAAACTCATCAGTGGAATGATATGGAGTTCATTCTTCAATTATCCACTTCCCCATTTATTTAACTTGTATTCTTATAATCAATTCATGGAACATCCTTTTCAAAATTTCAAACCTCCACGTACACCTTCATTAGTTCTGGAGGAATCAACCTTGGTAAATAAAAATCAACCCAAATCCATATTTAATCGTTGGGAAATTGCACACATTTTTTCTTTTAATGTTTTCTAGATCTTTTATTATCTTACTCAACATGGCAGATCTTTTGATTTTAAATTTGGCTAAAGGGTCAAATAGGTACATGAACTAACTTAAAGTGTTCAATTAACCCCTTATAAAAGAGTTTCTGCCTGGACGTCGCCAATTAGGGCGGTTCCCGGTGGAATTTTTTGATGAAATTTTTTGAGCATCTTCTTCATTAATTCTAGTTTACCCATACCAAATTTCAGCTAAAAATTCAACCGGGAAGACATTCGAATTATTTTCCGAAATGTACTGCGCTGTTTAACTTTTCAGAAAATCATTCGACTGCCTTTCCGGTTGAATTTTTAGCTGAAATTTGGTCTGGGTACACTAGACTTATAATATTCAGGCAGAAACTCCTATATAAGGGGCTAATTGAACACTTTAGGTTAGTTCATGTACCTATTTGACCCTTTAGCCTTTAAATTTTTTCTTTAGTGGGATTTAAAATATTCAGAAACTTTTAGATGGGTTTGCTCATTTGGGGTGTAAAGATTAATAAGATATTAGCTTGTTTATTTGCTAACATATTCTTTTTTATTTTGTTTTCATATTAAAAAAGACAATTGTGGAACAATGAAGTAGTTTCAACGTGGGATTTGTTAGTTTTTGTAATCGTATTGTGCTAAGAACAATTATTTACATTTAAATATGTTGAATCCATTTTGGTATTTATTATTTTATTTATTAATGTGCTATCTACAACTTTTATAATTTTGAAAAATATATGTTTTGGTCGGTTATGTTCGGTTATTCGGTTACCGACCGAAACCGAATGACACTTTTCGGTCGGTTTTTGTAATGTTGTCGGTCGGTTTTCGATCGATTATGAGAAGAAAAAACATTGGTCGGTTATTCGGTTATCGGTCGGTTATTTGACCGACCGACCGAATGCTCACCCCTATTGACATCATCCGATTCAACTACATCTCTTTATTTAAGAAGACTCATATATGTAATAGAATATACGGAGTACAAAGTACCCCTTAAAATAAACATTCTATAAATACTTATCTTGAACACATTTGACACAATTCATTACAATTGAAAGTTGGGCACATTACATTCACGCAAAGCGCGAGCAAATTACTAGTTTATATATGACGTTGCTCACTAAGTTCACTCGTAACAATAAAGTAGGGAGATAGGCAATGTTTTTCATTCGCAGAAGGAAAGCAGTAAATTAGGCAGTACAATACCAAAAAAAACTAGAGAAATGTAGTTTTCAGGCTAATTCACATATCTGTTTGGTTGGAAGGAGAGGAATTAGTTAATTGCAAAGAAATATTCTTCAAAATTTGGATCAATGCTTTCAAATCGCTTCCACCAACCCGCAGGCAGTCCTTCAACAAGTCACCCTCCACAACCTCCTTCCTGACCAGCTCCATTAATTCCGCAAAAGCACCCTGAATTTCCACCATTTTCAAACAGAACATTACTTTTCACAACAATGAAAGCAAAATTTAACAAAACCTCAGCAGCAGAAATGCTTACAGATTCACCAAACGCCTTCTGCATTCTACCAGACAAATCATTAGCAATTCCGATGGCATTTCCGTTATTCCGATTCGCTAACTTTTCCTTATCCTCTTCCGACCCGACCCGAGTTAACTCTCCCAAAGTTCTGACCAGCAAGTTGAAATTGAACAAGTTCCGGACGAAGGACCGTCCGTGATTCCACATCATCTTCCAAAAACCCATCCCACGCGCTTGATTTATGATTTTGGCGATTGACCGTACCCTGGCAGCGCCGAGAACATCGCCGCGTGCGGCGCGGTGGTCGGCGACGCGGTTGAAGAGTGTGTGAGTTAGGGAGATAGCGGTTTCGTACTGAAAAAGTGGGAGGAAAAGGGAAGAAGAAGGTGTGGGATTGATGACGAGGAGGAAAAGGACGAGCAGAAGAGAGCGCGGGAAAGTGGCCATTTCTGTACTGTATTGTTTGCGGAGTATTTTGAAGTTAATTTTGTGTTGCACGGAGGCTAATTAGCTGCTTATATATAACCGTACATGCTTATAATAATAATACGGAGTAATAAAAAACTGTTTAATTTCTTGACCTTTTATATTCCTGTAATGTAAATCTTATGGGTATGTGAATTGATCATTACTTTTTCTGGAAAGCGCAGTTGATTAATTAGCCAACTATTTTTCTGGAAAGCGTAGTTGGAAAGGGTGGGGCTTTTAAGATTCCAATGTGCTTATGTAGTTGCACAAATTAGACAATTAGTACTCGTATCTCACTAATTAACTCCTCTTGTATTGGGCGATCTACGAATTTCAAGTTTGGTTTCATTATCCTCGTGATTGCATTTGTAAAAAAAGGATGACACCCCATCCCTAAGGGTCCCCGAACACCGACCGAACGGCACAATGGGAGGATGTAAATTGGACTATAATCACAATCTGACAGATAGAGAGTGGGGTATTGTCACCGGTACTTGCAAAGACTCTATGCATTTTTCAGCATAGTAATCCCTCATCGCAGTTGCCGGGATTCGAACCCGAGACCTAATCCTTATGACACTTCCTTGCTACTAGTTGAGCTGCGCCCACCGGTATCCTGATTGCATTTGTAATGTGTAGGTAGTTTCCACCTTCTTTCTTGGAAGTTGTCAAGAGACACCTTAACATGGAGACACCTTCTTGGAAGGAGCTCTCCAACAAATGAACATGGAAAAAGATTGCTTGGACATAGCTAGGAAACTCCATAGTAATGGGAATGGAAGCTTGAATGCAACTTCCTCATGTCTCCCATATACACCTATAAATAGGGAGTGTATTGTTGTTCATTTGTATCAGTTTAGAAAGTGAGAAAAGTGTGTGAAGAGTTAAATACACTTAGAGTAGAAGTGTATTGGTGAGGATTGGTTTTTTGTAATTGTTGAGTGTGAGAGTTTGCTCCTCCTATTGTAATTCTGTTCTTAATATTGAATAGAAGAATTTTCCAATCCCAACAAGTGGTATCAGAGCGAGGTTGAATTTCCATACACAGTTTTTTCATTTTCAGATAAATTTCTACAGGTTAGAAAATCTTGATTTTTGAAGTTGCTCCGAATCACGATCTGATCATATCGTTAGATTCCTCTCTTCGAGAAGAGAAATCTGGTATTTTTGGGGAATTTTTTGATCACCGCAAGAGGCCGTACGCGCCGCCCAAACCTTGTTTGCAGAATCAATAACAGTCCCCATCGCTAGCAGAAAAGGCAGTGTTTTGATAAATAATCTGCAGATACAGTGTGGATATTATGATGAAATTCAAGAGATAAGGCGAAGCAATACTTCATTTATTCTTCTTCACTCTAGATAAAATCTTTAAATAGGGTAATCACTGAAAAAGTATGGGGATAACAAATACTAAAAGGAATAATCAAAAAAGCAAATGCCAAAAGATCCAGAAATTTAGAATCATAACCATTGTTCTAAAAAATATTGGAAATTTCAAGGGCTGATGGATTCAGATATAAGGTATTACCCGGTGCAGTGCGTTGCCTCGTCCCTCGTCTCTGCTATGTCTTCTTAAAAGGGTGGGGCTTTTAAGATTCCAATGTGCGTATGTAGTTGCACAAATTAGACAATTAGTACTCGTATCTCACTAATTAACTCCTCTTATATTAGGCGATCTATGAATGTCAAGTTTGGTTTCATTATCCTCGCATTTGTAAATTGGACTATAATTACAATCTGACAGATAGAGAGTGGGGCTCTGTCTCTGGTACTTGCAGAGACCCTATGCATTTTTCAGCATAGTAACCCCTCATCACAGTTGCCGGGATTGGAACCCGAGACCTAATCCTTGTGACACTCCCTTGCTACCAGTTGAGCTACGCCCATCGGTATCCTGATTGCATTTGTAATGTAATGGACTATGATTTAATGAATGAAAGCTAAGTTTATTATTGTCAAAAAACTCCTCCTATCTTCTAATTTGCGCTTCACGTATATAATATATCCATTCAATATCCATTCCTTCCATATCAAAATTAAATAATGTATTCAAATTTTGTATTCAATTTTTTCATAACTACCGAATTGAAAGTAGTTATATTGTCTGTATTTTTAGTTACTTACGTCGTACTAAATTTAAAAATTGAAAACACATATGTCGATCGATGTAGAAATAATGAATTTGGATTTCATAAAATTGCTCAACAGTTAAGAACAATTGAATCAAGGGGCGGATCCAAAAATCTCGGAAGCAGTAGCCTGAGTTAGTAAACAAAACCCTAAAAAAAAAAGGTTAGTAAAGAATCATTTTAAAAGTAACATGCTCAGAAACCAGGTAGAAAGTTGATTTGCGCACAACTTTAATTTTGATGCTTCTTGGAACGGAGTTTCTATATACTCCCTCCGTCCAAGCTAAATCTTTACACTTTCCTTTTTGGGACGTCCCATTTACTCCTTTACCTTTCCTTTTTTGGCAACTCTTTTAACATGATTTGCCATAAATACCCTTCACACCATCCACCCACATTTGCATTTAATGAGATAAAATTAATTACCCACCCACTACCCAACCGTCACTCTCGTATATTCCCTGCTAATACTCGAACCCTCCATACGCTAAACCCAATGTCGAGCAATAACCTTCTCTCTCCATCTCTTCATCGTCTATCACGAATTTATTCAATTGCTCTCTGCAATTCCTCCTAATTTTCAACCATTGGAGTTTGTTTGCCTGGTCAAGAAAACTTTAAGTTCTAAATCGATCTACCCATGTATGTTGATGTATGGAATCATGTGATTAGGGTTCTAATGTTTTTTTCAACAGCTATGGCAGATCCGAATTCAGGCATGGATCTTGAAGATCTCGAACATGCCATTGGCGAAGACTCATTTGAACACCGTGTTCCTTCTCTTCCTGAGCAACGAGCCGTTGATAACTTTTGCCGGCACCCCTGGAAAAGGCCAATTCGTGAAACTAGCAAATCAAATAACCATAGCTTCGACCATGGTTGGGCTATGCGAGGGCCTTATATATGACCACAAAGCAGGTCTGGATTTGGAATTATATGTGAACGCAATCTCAATGGGAGCTGCAGTATCAAAATCACTGGACTTGTATGGGAGGAGGATAGTGAGCAGAGAATACTGTAGGTTGGTAAAAGAATACTGTGATCTTGACTTGGCCTTCATCTCGCTACATGTGTTGTGAGTTATGAATACTGTGTCATTCATTTTCTTGTTTTCATGGGCCGGGGCTTTATTCTATTTGTTGTGATGTTTTCATCGGAAAAAAAAGTAAGATACCCCAAACTCTTTTTTGAACACCGTTATCCGTTTTAAGATAAATTCATATCTTCTTCTTAATTTCCAGTGTTCTCAATCGGTTTTGGTAGTCTGTTAAGCTGTCTATGATGAAATTAAATTGCCCATTCTAAAATAAAGGATATTTGTAAACATTAAATTGATCAATGATGCAATAATGTGATTGTATATGTGTGCTGAGATCCGTGTTGGTGTCACCAGTTGTAAAGTATTTCATTGTTACTCCGTACAACCCAGGAGACCCAGAATGATGTCATATATGCTTATGATCTGTGTTGGTGGTATGTTAAGCTGTCAATGATGAAGTTAAATGGCCTTTTATGAAGTAAAGGACATTCTAAACTGTAAATTGATCAATGATGCACTGATGTGGTTCTATCTGTGTGTTGGGATCTGTGTTGGTGTCACCAGTTATAACCAAAGTAATGGTTACAACTTAGGCGACCCAATATGTTGTGTCAATTGCTTATGATCTGTTTTGGTAGTCTATTAAGTTGTCAATTGATCAATGAAAGTAAAAGGCCTTTTCTGAGACTATAACATCAACAAAGAAGTTGCATCTGTACTCAAAATATACTGCATTTATACTCTAAATATTTTGTATTTGTACTCAAAACATACTGCATCTATACTAAACAGTATACAAAAATAATGCATCCATACTAGACTGCATTCAAGATGCATTGCATCTATACATAACATAGTGCATCTATATTCAAAACATACTGCTCTATATGAAACAGTATTCTAAAAACAATGCATTTATACTAGATTGCATTCAAAATGCATTGAATCTACACATAACATGGTGCATCTATGTTCAAAACACACTCCATCTATAATGATGAGTATTTAAAATCGTGTCCCTTATCAGTTCATATGTGAAGATGATGCTCATATTCACTTATGAATTGACCCAGTTCAGACTCACATATATTATGTGAGCCCCCACCATTTATATGATCCAAGGCTTCTTCAATTAAGGCTGCATCTGGTCCAACACTTGCAGGTAAAATTCCTTGTTTGGTCAATCTTTTCTTTCCAATATGTGGTATCTTGTACACATTGCTCCCCTTCACCCTCATTATTTCAGTCATACAACATTGTAGAGTAAGCCACACATCATTCAAAGTTTTTGCCTCTAACTTTTCAAATGCATCTTGAACACATTCAACCAATTCAATAACTGTTTTTGGGGCAGACTGGTGTTGCAATGACTGGATGGCATTAAAAAAACCAAGATCTAGAATATTTAGATCAGGACTGTTTGTGGGTTGACATGTTAAATGAATGTCAAACCCATCAGCTTTAGCAACTGCCTTAAACTCTGGGTCAGATGACTTAATGTGAGGGGTGGCATTATCTTGTTGAATAAAAATAGTCTTGCTTCCATGAATAGGCCACTTAGATTTTATAGCTGGCACCACTTTTTCAATTAGAAAAGCCTTTGTAATGTCTTTGGTGATAGATAACATAGGTTTAGTCTCAAGCACACCTGCCACTCTATTCTTGGATGCCCTCTTTGCCGCCTCAATGACTGTGAAAGGGAAAATCCCTATTTTCCCATCGAATAATACCTCTTCATTTCGACCAAATCTTGGCCTAGCCACAACTGTCAAGAACATCACTTTTGTAATGAACCTTTTGGATTTACAAGTCCTGACCGGATCTATTTCAGCAGGATGCAGGTAGTATTT